AGAACGAGGGGAGGTAGAGACCGGACAGGGAGCCAGACGGGACCGCAGGGCACGGAAGGACAGTGGATTAACGAGCCAGAACAGGACCCCCAGAGGGGTCCGCCAGGGAGACTGCCACAGGCCGACTAAGCGGCGTGAGTGTGGTGCGGTTTTGAAAGAAGGAGCGAGACACTCCTGAGTCAAGAGTGAAAGTGAGAGAGAGCGGAGCCGACGCTGTACCTGAGAGAGCAGACTCACCAGCACCTGGGGACACAGACTCACTGGCACCTAGAGCAGCAGCCTCAACAGCACCTAGAGCAGCAGTCTCAACAGCACCTGGAGTAGCAGCCTCAACAGCACCTGGAGCCGCAGTACCAATGCCCGGGTCGAGCGGGAAACACCGGTAACAGTCACCCTCCTCACTAATAGTCACAGCATACATGGCACGATGAATAGCATCAAAGTCAAGATCAAAGATAGCTACTCCTGCCCTAGACAGCTGGTCCCAGCGAGGGATCTCAGAGGCGTCAGGAAACTGGCGGCGCCAAGCGTCAGTCAGGCGGCCGAAGCAGCGCTGGGCGGAGTGTGGACCACCACACTGCTCACCCGCACGGTCGCCAGTGCGCAGGACGTAGGTGCACGGACCAGGACCCCCACCCCTCTGACGTGCAGCGTACCACTTACGGAGCTGCTGCGGGGAGAGGGTCTCCTGACCATCTGTTGCTGCTGGCGCTGACCACCACCGGAGCCACTCCTCCGCGACGAGCCACGACCGCCGCCGCCCCCTCCGCCGCCTCCTCCGCCGCCGCCGCCGCCACCTCCGCCGCCACCGCCACCCCCACCGTCGCCGCCGCCACCACCGCCTCCGCCTCCACCCCCACCACCACCGCCACTGCCGCCCCCGCCTCCACTGCCGCCGCTGACACCTCCACTCCCGCCACCACTCCCGCTACCACCCTCACCTCCTCCGCTGCCTCCACCGCCGCCTCCACCGTCCCCGCCGCCTCCCCCACCGCCCCTGCCCCCCTTGCCCTTGCCAGAGCGACGTCTCCCACTGGGAGCAGACGCCGCACTGACCGACTCAAAACCAACGAGGTCGGCCGTGGCAGCAGAGGCGACAGAGGGCAGGAGGGGGGAGGGGGAACACCCCTCAAAGATGGGGGTGCGCGGGTCACCACGAGAGGCCCCTACAGCGAGAATGCTCTTCTCGGCCGCTAGGAGGGACTTCTCGAGGAGCTCAACGGTGAGAGTGGTGGGGCAGACTGAGAGTAAGTCGTCCCTGACTCCTCGAAGGGAGTCAGGGAGGCGGGTGACAATGTAGTAGAGAGTGAAGTACTGGGGGGGGGGGTTCTTGGCGCAGAACTCAGCAGGAAGCGCAGCGCGGAAGCGAGCGTCACTAGTGCGCAGGTGGGTAATGAGGTCGGCGACTGTGGCAAAAGCAGCAAGGTCGGGAAAGAGGTACGGTAGCATGAGGCGGCTCAGTGCAGCAGTGGCAGGGGTGGAGTAGCGTGCAATAACGGCGTCGTACAAGGTCTTAGCACTCTTGTACGACCCAAAATGTGCACGCTCAGTGGGAGGGAGGTGGCGACGCACAGCAAGACGTGCAGCAGCATCGCGTGTGGCCCACTGTGAGCGAACAGTGGCATCCTCAGTAGCAGCAGGGGCGGGAGAGGCACCAGAAGTGAGATCAAAGAGAGAGAGGCCGTCAGCTCTGTCGCACTGTAGGAAAAGCAGCAGATCGTCTACCCACACGTCAAAGTCGATGGCTCTGCCCTCAGCGTCAAAGGTGAGGACACTGGGGGTAGCCATGACAACAGTAGGGTGAGGGCAGTGCGCAGAGGAAAGCTCAGTGCTCACCAGACAGGGCGGCTCGGGTGGCTCGGGCGGCTCGGCGGCACGGCTGCTCGGCTGCTGGGGCGGCTCGGCTGCAGGGGCGGCTCGGCGGCCACGGCGGCTCGGCTGCTGGGCGGCTCGGGCGGCTCGGCGGCTCGGGCGGCTCGGCTGCTGGGGCGGCTCGGCTGCTGGGGCGGCTCGGCTGCTGGGGCGGCTTGGCTGCTGGGGCGGCTCGGCTGCTGGGGCGGCTCGGCTGCTGAGGCGGCGCAGTTGCTGGGGCTGCGGGGCCGGGAGATGCAGCGGCGGGGCCGGCAGGGGTAGAGGCGGGGCCGTCAGAAGGGGACGGCGGGGCCGTCAGGTGCAGCTGCGGGGCCGTCAGAAGGGGACGGCGGGGCCGTCAGAAAGGGACGGCGGAGGGGCCGTCAGGTGCAGCGGCGGGGCCGGCAGAGGGGACGGCGGAGCCGTCGGGTGCAGCGGCGGGGCCGGCAGAGGGGACGGGAGAACCGTCAGGTGCAGCGGCGGGGCCGGTAAAGGGGACGGCGGAGCCGTCGGGTGCAGCGGCGGGGCCGGCAAAGGGGACGGCGGAGCCGTCGGATGCAGCGGCGGGGCCGGCAAAGGGGGACGGCGGAGCCGTCGGGTGCAGCAGTGGGGCCGGCAGAGGGGACGGCGGAGCCGTCGGGTGCAGCGGCAGGGCCGGCAGGTGCGACGGCGGGGCCTGCAGAGGCAGGCGAGGAGGCCGCTTGGGCGGCGCTAGGGGGCCGCGAGGGCGGCGCGACGCAGCAGAGCCGCGAGGGCGGCACGACGCGGCCGTAAGGCCAGCGCAACGTGGCCCTGGCCGCGCGCGCGAAAAAAAAAAGGTCGCGCGCGCGACTCACGGTAACCACAAGGGCCGCGCGAGAAGGACTAGGGGGGGGGGGGGGGGAGCGCGCTTCGGGGAGAGAAGGGCGCGCTCCGGGCAGCGAAAATTTTGTGGGTGGGCCCTTAAACGACGGTCCTTAGGAAGGACCCGCTCTATACCATGTTGAGTTGAGAGAGGAATGATGTGCACTATGAAATGAAACAAGTACAAGTACCAACCCTAATTGGGTTGTACCCCATATGAGCTACCCCACTACAGCCTACAATGCATGCATCAGCTAAATATAATCTGACAATGACAGGGAAGGCTCCACTCCACTTAAGCCCGCCGGCATACGCGACTACCAGAGAAAGCTGGGATGCCTCCTCTTTGCGGCCGTCACCTGCCGACCAGACCTATCGTACTCGGCGAATCAACTTGCCACCTACCTCAAGAAACCTGAAGCGGAACACATGGCAGAGCTCGACCGCGCTCTTGCACTCCGACGATCGGCCTAACCTACCTCAAAACCGGAACTACAATGCCTAAGCTAATTGGCTACGTCGACGCAGATCACATCGGCGACTCTGACAACAGGCGCTCGCGCACCGGCTACATCTACCGACTTGAGCCTATCGGGCCCATCTCTTGGCTGTCGAGCAAGCAGGAACTAATTGCTCTCTCCTCAGCTGAAGCAGAATATATTGCACTCTGCTCAGCCACCAAGGAAGGACTTTACCTTCGCGAACTACTGGAAGAGGCGAAGCTGGCCCAGTTACCCAACTTCTCCCTATTCTGCGACAACCAGTCTACAATCCGCATAGCCAACAAGAATGGATTTGCGAACAGAGCGAAGCACATTGCTCTACGATATTTCTTCGAGAAGGACGAGATCGAGAAAGGGAGACTCGAGCTGTCCTACTGCCCCACGTCTGAGATGGCAGCTGATTACTTGACCGAGAAGCTCGGAAAGCAGAAGTTCGAGTACTGCATGTTGCTGACTGGACAAGGCCACGTCATGAGCAACGACACTCCAGAAGCGAAGGGGAGTGTTGGAAACCAGTAAATTGAACGCTTCTGTTGTGTGTCGAAACACTAAAGTCGTAAACGAGGCAAAGCACAGCGAAGCATCGGTGAGTCAACACTTGGAGGTTGAGAAGTGAAGAAACCGCTGGAGGTTACGCGAAAGTCAAAGGTCAGCGACCTTTGACCTGACAAGTACAGCGCGACAGCAAGGACAAACAACTGACTCACTATTGAGCAGTTGCCCGAGTCGTCACTGTATCGAACCGCAACAGCAAACAGTAAATCAGTTATTAGTTGCATCTTTTCATATTCCTTGTACTCTTAGGGCGTGGTGCATCATGTGCAAAATGGTGTCCAATCCGTCGTGGGTTCGTTTTGCAGGCTCGACAGAGGTTCAACGTGTTGAGCTTGTAAGCTGTAAACCGAGGTTCAAGATTACAAATTTCTGTTACGTAACGCGCTTCGTTCACAAACTCGGCGGTGCGCTCATTCAACATTTTCGCTATAGCGTGTCGTGGCACCCGTATGGGCGTCTTGCAAATTTCGCACGAGTCCTTGGCTGGGTATGTTTCCCCGTAACTCCCTCGACAGCGCGACATGTTACTTTTTTTGACTCGTTGACCCTACGGTTCGCTTGTGCGAAGGTCAAACGCTTGACCCCGATTTCAAAATCATTTTGTTTCCAGGTACATCCCTAATATGCGGAGGTACATTCGAGCGCGTTTGTGTCACATTTGTAGGGTTACCCGCTCTGGGGTCCAAGACTTGGACCTCGCTTGCATATGATGCACCACGCCCTTATAAAAGCCTTGTATCTCTATGATTAATTAATCTACTTTGCCCTCACATACCAGCGCAAGTTGGTTCAAGACTTATCATTATACGCTTCCGCATTTACAACAAGTCCTACCCAGAGTTTAGCCTTGCAAAGATCCTAAGGGCCTTTCTCAGCCCAACAGGGTTTTGGGTTTACGAGTTCAGGGTTTATGGGTTTATGGATGGTGAAACCTTAAACCCCGAACCCTGAAACCCTGATAAGACTCGTGAACATTTATTTGAAACCGTAGATATTTTGTTCTCCTCTACCATACAATACAACTGTTTCCCCTAACGGTATTACGGTATGGTACAGATACATTGGAATCACACGCGGTTCTATAATAGTTTGAACCTTACTTCCGACTTTTACATTTGATATGCTTGAGCTAAGGTGTGTGTTTCCAATCAAGCTCATGCCACCTGGTGGTGCTGATTTTTTTAAGGAGCTTTGTATGAGGGAGTACAGTAGTTTCATTGGAACTGGTGCCAACTTTTTTAATCAAGTTCAATATACACATTCTCCAATCCGAGCACTATTGTAGTTCGGCAGGCAGACCTTTGTTCCTGGTGTCATCTTGTCTACACATTCGTACCCATTGATTTTCCGGTAGCACCCCTTGATGCCATGGAAATGCTGGACGTGGACACTAGTGCAGGTGTCAGTGGGCATAAAGTAGTACTGGTTGTCTGTTGGACAGCTCCCAATCGCAAATGACGTTGCACTCTTGGTGCAAATCTGTTTTTACGAAGAGAGGGGGGAGGGGGAGGGAGGGTAAGAGAACACGAAAATTAACATCAGAATGCGCCAATGATGCAAACATGCAACGTGAGATGCGTCAAAAGGCAGCAGCACTGGACCGGCATGCTACAACGTGCAGCATACCGTACCTCACGCTCAAGGGGCCATTGGAAGCTGTGGTCCTTTGCTGGGATGAGCTGGTTGCAGTTGATGCCAGGGTTGAGGCGGTACAGCTCCATGGCACCCAGAGGAGGGGCCGCCGAGTCCATAATGCTCTCACACGTGTCGTTTGCCCGCGGCCTGTAGTACTGCGCACACACCGGAATGCGGTTGGCCTTGGCGGGGTCCCTCTCGATGCACACGGCCTGGGAGGGCCTGAGGGAGGAGCAGTTGACAGCGGGGTTGAGCGCCTGAAATGCTGCCTCACACGCCGCATTCGACGCCGCCACCCCACACAGCTCCACCTGCCGCGCCACCCCCGTGCACGTGTCACCCTGGGAGACAATTTGGAAAAAGGGGCATGTGAGAAAGAAAATACGCATATGCACACCTTGTAGTTTGTACAAGCTCCGATCTTCTACAGAAAGAATCAGAACATCTGCGAGAATTCAGAATGGTGCCTGTAATTGCACAGAAAGCACCGGGTAGGCAGCAGTGAGAGAGTTACAAGAGGGGAGCAGAGCAGAGAGAGAGAGAGCCACGTACAGCATTGGTGCTGTAGAAGACACTGCAGTCCTTGATGTTGAACACCACTGAGAGCGTCTTGCCGATGGGCAGAGGCTTGGCGCATGACACTCCCTGCACATGCAGCACCCCGTGCAATTGGAGTTACAGGAGAGATCCGAAAAGTCGATAGAACAGAGTGGTGGTGGAGTGACCCCACCCACTAGTACAGGGTGGGGAAGCTGGATGGATGGAGGGAAACAGAATGAGGGAAGAAGAATGAGGGAATCAGAAAGTGCCATCTGTTGTGTGTGTTGTCCTTTTGTGAAAGTTCAATGGTGCAAGTGTTACGGCGCTGACCTGCTTCAAAAGGTCTGCAGTTGGCATACTGAAGACAGCTGAGATGTGCGAGCACATGACATTGCCTGCTACCACCGTGTACGTGCCCTGCGTCTGACCTGCCACCCACACACATCCGCAATGGGGGTCCAGGAACAAAGCAGGGCATGGGGTGATGATCTGCAGGGAAGCCCGAGTCCAACATGGGCAGCAGCAGAGGACGGCCAGGATCGGCGATTGATGAGATGGGCATTGGCCTGGCCCAGCTTGCACCTCTGACAGAAATTGAACGGGTGATGATGAATGTGGGCTGGTAATCCACGGCCATGCCATGGCTGTAGCTGTGGGTGGGAGACATCAACACGGCAACCGAGGCACGAGTCGTACCAGGAGTGCAGGAGAAGCCTCCACCGATCATGGTGCCTTGGATGAAGCCCCTGGGACACACACAGGAGTAGCTGCCCTTGCCATCGTTCACACACGTGCCCACCACACACGGGTTGCGACTGCTGGACCCACACACGTCCACTGGGGGAGAAGGGAGAACGGTGGGGGCGGCATGGGGGTGGAAATTGTGTGAAGGTGCGCAAAAGGTCAACACGTCCATAGGCCAGAGGCAAGGGGGTGTCGAGAGATGCGAGGCGAGTTGCGGGGAGTGTATTCTTGTGGAGAGTACCCTCCAGCAAAATTCAGTACCAGCTTTTTGGTGATGTGCAGCAAGTAGACGGGCGGTGGGCAGTGCGGTGGTGCCAAGAACAGACCCATGGCAGTGACCCATGTATGAGAGTGAATACTGGCAGTTCAATGGTGTGAATTGACGCCACTTGTGCACAGCACCAAAGCTCCGGTGCGAATTACCATAGGCACAGGTGTACGACCCATCGGTGTTCTTGACTTCAGCGAAGCGGGCATCGGAGCAGGTGCAGCGATTGCTGGTTTTCTTCTTGATGCAGCTGAACTGGCCACACGGGTTGAATACGGGGTTTAGATCGCCGTGCTTGTAGGATTGCTGCCCACAGGGGTCGGCAGGATCTGCAGCAATACAGGGCCACATAGAGAGACACGGAGAGGAGGTGGATACATGCAGGTGCATGAAGAACACGTGCAGTAAAGAGGGAAGTCCGAGGGCCTTGCACGGACAACGAACGTGAGAAGCGCCAAGCAAGATTCGAAAGAATGCGACGGCCAGGACGAATGGGAAAGGAATGCGAGCACTCACTTCTCACGATTGGGACGAGACCCGGGAGAGTGTTGATGCCGCAGATGCCGTCGCCACTGCGAATGTCCATGCGCATGTGGCCCTGGTCGCCCCACCCTGAGCCCCATGAGTTGCGGATGATCCAGAAGGGCGGGGGCAGGTCGGGCTTTGCAGATTCGGTGCCAGCCACGAGATAGCCCACCACCAGCACCACGTGGTTCACATGCTCCGTGAAGCAACCCTCGTCAGCGTACACGTCGCTCTGATGGGAAGGGGACGCGAGAGACAAGAAGCGCAGAGAGACACAGATCAGCTACACATGAACAATCATCCCAAAGCCAGAGGTCCCATCCGCTGTGTGGTTGCGGACCCCACAAACACAAAGACAACAAAAGCTTGGTCATAGCGCTTGAGGCATTGACCATCATATCCGTGTCCTGGGCTGTGCTGCACTGCTGGAGCAGCACCATTGGCTTCTGACTAATGATGGGCAAGCCCAAACTAAGTCACAGGAAATTGTGCAGAATCGTGGTGAGCTGGCCGTGGCTCAGGACTTGCTCTTGAGGAGCCCACAGTCTCAGAGAGAGATACGTTGAGTGCCAAGCTTGCTGGCACGTTGCAGGGGATTCATGAATCCATTTGAGGAATACATACGGATAGCAAATGAGCTGTTACGCATTCCTAATCGCCTTCTTAGCCCAATCCATTTGCCATGCTTATTTGCCTTATCATCATTCCAAGGAGGGTGCCTTACCCCATCGTAGTCTTGGAAGGAGGGTGCCTTACCCCATCGTAGTCTTGGAAGGAGGGTGCCTTACCCCATCGTAGTCTTGGAAGGAGGGTGCGGACGCCTCGATGTGCACAATGACAGGCTGGCGCTGCACTGCCAGCATGAGCCCAAACCACCCGTAGAACCCCGTGCGCTCGATGCCCCGGATGCCGTAGTACTTGATGACGGGCTGCATGCAGGGAAGCGGCAGGGCACAGGCACAAACACAAGGACTGAGCAGAACAGCAGAGGTAAAGAACCTACAGAGGGTAGAGGCGAGCCCACGCTGTATTGCAAGCAATGCAAGCTTGTCCGTCTGACAGAAAATGGCCACGAAGAACGTAACTTTGCAGCTGGATAATTCTCAAGTGCGCAATACTCTACCTTTGCAGCTGCTTTGCGTCCGAGAGAGCGTATTGCCTTGGTGGAAGCAGCATATGTGGTCTCCTCCAGCAGCCCCTTGCCCTGTGCACTGGCGTTGAGGAGGAACTGCAGAGCCTTGGTGGGCGAGCCACCGTCGCAGCTGGAGGAGAGGGCGAGGCGCAGATGCTCCACTGAGAGGATGGGCGGCTGAGTCCAGTTGCTGGCGATGCTGTAGGCTGCCTCCACCGCTGCCACCACTGCGTATGCCCATGAGTCCGCTGCCAGCACAAGCAGGAAGACGACGATTGTTGTTGGTGTTTGTTGCTTCATCTACACGTATATATATGTATATAGAAATATATTTTGCTGGAAACGAGCTCAAGAAAGACTCCAAATGTTAAGGCAGAAACTTGTAGGTGGAGCATGGATACTATCGAACCAGCTGGAATCCATGCAACAATATTCAATCTCATCCAACAAACTTGCTGATTGCCTTCCATGCCTAGTCACGTTGATCTTCCTTCTCTTTCAACCAGAGGGACACAATCAGCGCATCTCAGATAGCCAATCATGCTCTTTATAATCCACTCACGGAAATCATCCCCTTGTCCCCATGCAACTCACCGCAGCCCCTTTGGTTCTTGACAGGCCAGATGGACTCAGATAAGCGCCAGATGGAGTACGACTTGACATTCCAGGAGGGGCTGTTCTCCTGTGCGGGCTCGAATCCCGAGCTGGCATAGTGGAAGAAGGAGTTGAAGCCCTGTGGTGAGTAGGAGTCCTCGTCCAACACAAACCCCAACGCCAGGTCTGGTGGGAGCAGTGCAGGGAGTGTGAATGCATGTGGCGTTTGATGGTGTCGAGTGAAACAGATATTGGTTCATTGTGGTGGTAGCCTGGTAGGGCGATTGCAAGTGTGCAGTTGTGACAAAAACCCGTTAACTGGAAGGCCCATGGTGAGACGACAAAGAGGTTCCAGTCTAGAATGGATGTTTATTTAGGCTGCAACACTCTAGCAACGAACGAACGTGCTGGGTGGGCTGCCCCTCTATTTAGTTTAGGCTGCGCCAGTGATGGACGTGCTGTGATGGACGTGCTGTGATGGATGTGCTGTGATGGACGTGCTGTGATGGACGTGCTGTGATGGACGTGCTGTGATGGATGTGCTGCGATGGATGTGCTGTGATGGATGCGCTGTGATGGATGTGCTGTGATGGATGTGCTGCGATGGACGTGCTGTGATGGATGTGCTATGATGGATGTGCTGTGATGGACGTGCTGTGATGGATGTGCTGTGATGGACGTGCTGTGATGGACGTGCTGTGATGGACGTGCTGTGATGGACGTGCTGTGATGGACATGCTGTGATGGGTCTCACCTTGCGGGTTGGGAGGAAGTCGAGGAGGCAAACCTGTAGTTGGTCGGGAGTGGGGACAGGAAAGTGCTCTGGACTGATGTGGATGAGAGGCGCACAGTGCAGATAGCACTCAGCACATTGCGCATTGCACATAGCATACAGGACATTGCGCATTGCACATAGCGTACAGGACATTGCGCATTGCACATAGCATACAGGACATTGCGCATTGCACATAGCATACAGGACATTGCGCATTGCACATAGCATACAGGACATTGCGCATTGCACATAGCATACAGGACATTGTGCATTGCACATAGCATACAGGACATTGCGCATTGCACATAGCATACAGGACATTGCGCATTGCACGTAGCACGCAGCACATAAAACATACGATATAGCACATGGCACATTGCACATTCGCAGTGCGCCCCTTCATGTGGCAGGGGGGAGACCGAAAACGACTCGAAAATTTCAGCAAAAGAGTCCAAAGGTACCATTCATTACGCACATGCTGTTGCACTGCACCACCGCACCAACCCACATCCATCTCATTCTACGAGCTACCTTGTTTAGAGTCATTCAACAAGGCCCATGGGGCCTCGAAATGAACACAAGGAGTTTCATCGATACCTTGTGTGCACTATCCCCACCACCGCACTCGTTGCTTGCGCCCACCTTGCTCCGTAGAGCAGCATGCTCACCTGTCACGACCTCCCACTTCAAGATGACATTCTCTTGGGCCTTATCCGTTGTCGAGGCGGCAAAGCCAAAGAAGAAGTTGGTCTCTGCTGCAGTGGGCTGCAGGATGGAGCAGAGCGACACTCGAGCGCGCAAGATGGGGGTGGGGGGCTGGTCGGGGTCGGAGGAGAGGAAGACTCGGAGGGTGCCGCCGCTGGTGGGGTCGTAGTGGATCCAGGCATGCTTGGTGTGGGCGTCGTTGAGGATGAGAGGGGCCGTGGCAGAGGCGAGGGACACAGGTGAGCCGCCCACATTGACGCCCACGTGGTTGTCGTTGGGGTCGCTGTGCTTCACACTCAACATCGAGTCAAACTCCACCGCCACACTCCGCTTCCCCACCCCTCCCAGCCCCACCCCCGCTGCACCAGCGCCCTGCGGTGCGGCCGCACTGACAACAAACGCCACCCCATCGCCCCCCATGTCCTGGGCTGCTGCAGGCTTCATGGCGAAACTGAATGAGGCGTTGAAGGCAAAGGGCGTGCCGCAGGGGCCAGGGCTGTCGATGAAATGGAAGAGGCGGATGGGCGCCTGTACTGCCGCTGCTCCTGAGGTGTTGCTGGTGGGCGGCGTGAGGATGATGGTGCCGTTGAACAGCTGCGCTGCTGCTCCTGCCACGGCCACTGGTGTTGTCTGTGATGACTCGGTTGAAGGGAGGACTGCAGCAGCAAGGCAAGCAGACGGGTGCAATGGGAAGAATAAGGTGATTGATGGGATATACCTTCCAGACCGCAGTTTGTGAAGTGGTACACTTGTTTGTGAGAAGCAGGCAGTCAGTGAGTGTGTGGTGGCTCTGTTAGCAGAGAACTGTGAAACAACGACATCTGCCTGCCTTCATGAAGTGGCAGTGTCACTGTGCTCCAATCCGTCACTCAAACCCGGTGCACTCAAGCTCTAATGCATACCGCTGTAGGAGATGACTTTTGAGTCGACTCACAAGTCACCTTGCACTCAAGCTCTAGTGCATACCGCTGTAGGAGCACGAGTGGGGTCCCGCCTGGTTGTCAAAGTTGCTATCGCAGGTGCACGTTGATTCCTGAACAGATGCATTGAAGGAGCACACGCCGTGCCCGCTGCACAGGGGCTTGGTGTCCCCAGCAGCAAGCCCACAGAACGCAGCGCACTCCTCTGCACTCCTCTGCTCGGGGTAATCTCCAGGAATCCGGGAGGCGTTGAGCAGGCAGTTCTCAAACGCGTTGCCAAAGAAGGTGCGGTTGGCCTTGGGGGGTATGACGGCACCATAGGAGAAGTAGTTGCGGTGGGCGTAGTAGAACTGCAGATAGGGCGATGGGGGCGATGGCAGCCGCCCCGTGAACTGGTTGCTTGACACGTCGCTGTGAGGAGGGGAGAGGGTGGGAGCAGGGCGAGCAGGGTAGTAAGTGAGTGGAAAAATGGGGTGTATGAGCGGGTGCGGAGCGAACAGGCATGGGCGGTGCAGAGAACAGATGCAGTGGTTGGTTGGAATAATGTGTGTGTGGTGATGGCCTGCAATCACCAGGCGCATGAGGCAGGAATGGTACTAGTGTGCGAAAGATACTGGTGGTCCGGTGGCTTGGTGCCATGCAACAGATGCTCAGGACGCAGGCAAGATGATGATGATCCTTGAGCATACAGATAGACCGCGGAAGAAAAGGTAGGCGTATGGTGTAACAGCCCTATGGCAAAAACATGGCGCACACATGGCACATGGCACACACATGGCACATGGCACATCCCAATGCCCCCATGCACGCACAGCGTGACCAGCCTGGTCATGTTGCTTGTGATGCCGTACACATCGCCAGAGAGGTGGTTCCTGTTCAGGTAGCTGGATATCGGGGAGTGGGGTGCAGGGCAGGGCAGGGAAGCACTTCCCGTCAAGCGGAATTGACCGGGCCTACGAGGAGTGCGAGGCAGCAGAGGCAGCAGAGGCAATATGAGTGAAGTTTACTGATGTGAGCAGACGCGAGAGTAACAAGTGCGGGAACTCTGAAAAGCACAGCAAGCAGGCAGGTTCCAGGGAGCACCCACAAGAAACCGAGGTTCTGAAGGTTGGAGAATGATCGGGGGACCGTGCCTGTGAGCTCCATGCCCTCCAGGTACCTGCGCTCGCAGTGTGGTTTGGGGGACATGGTGCATCACCAACAGCGTTGGTGGATCGTTGCTGGTTGGTGACATGATCGGGAAGTTTTTATGGAAACGAGGGAAAGCACATGCTATTGCCGAGTCTGCACCTACTCTTCTTTGACACGCTCGTTTAACATCACTCTGATCAGGCATGGGCTTCCATTGCTAAAATTACTGTGGACGAGATTGATGCAACACAAAAGAAGTGTTCAAAATGCAAGTGCACACAAGAGGGATGGAGGGATGGTTGGACCTGCATGGTGTTTTTGAGAAAGCTCATAAACAGCAGGCAGCAGGGAAAGAACCATTAGATAAGAGAAGCTAGATGGATGGGTTGCAGCTTCCGCACAAGATGTTGAGGCGAGTCAGGGTCCCAATAGAGGAGGGCAGGGTTCCAGTGATGTCTGTCCATGCCAGCTCCCTGCAATCGCATGGCATGGAAACGTAGCGGCAGTGGGAGCTGAATGGAGAGCCTGGTTGTATCAAGGATTCAAACGGTGATCATTGAGAGACACATGTGGAAGAAAGGAACACTCCCAGTCTAGGGCATTCTTTCGTGCATGCTACACTTGACTCTTGCGCTGTGGTCCGTCGGATCTTCCCTGTGTTTCAAGTGCTACAAACTTCTTATCAGACGATTGAGAAATCCACCACATGGTCGAAAAAAACACATGAGATGCCACACATCCCAGGTGATTAAACACCACAAGAAAGTCAGTGAATTAACCACTAGCTCTGTCTTCATGAAGCAGGGATCAAAATCGGAAAGTGGTGGCATGAAACCTTATTTTCATCTTCATACAGAGTCCCTCCTGGAGAAAACTACGCATGCAAGCAGAGCGCACGGAGCTCTGTTCGTGATTCTATCAGGCCTACCACACTGCGCGTTCATGAGTCTGCTCTCACAAGTCAAGGAGATTCGTGAGAGCCCCCAGAGAGGCGGGGATGGTGCCGCTCAGATAGTTGGTCTCAAGAATGCTGAGAGACAGCCAGTGGGGCGGGTAAAGGAAGGGAAGGGTATGCACACGGGAGATCAGGGTCGAACCGATGCGGTGAAAAGAGGGAGCAAGGGAGGGAGTGGGAGAGAGGGCGGGGGAAGAGGATCAAGATGAATGCGACTGCCCTTCACACACTCTGCCTCTTCCCAGTTGAATCCTTCACAGCACCAGACCTGTCCCTGCTGGTCAATGAGGCAGATCAAGGCCCTTACGAGCATGTACTTGCTATCCATTCCATGTGTTCAGCACCCAATGCATGTGCAAACATGACAAGCTCAGCGCTACCACCAAGCACATAGCTAGCTCAGCTTGGCGCATGCAGCAGTGTGCCAAGGTTCACTGCACCACAACTCACAGCGTCTGCAAGTTCAGCAGGTTGCCTAGTTCTCCCGGAATCGACCCTTCAATGAAGTTCACCGCTAGGCTGCTGCACGCAGGCAAGCAGGAACAATGAAAGAGCGCTGTCAAGCTACGGGTAGGTGGAATGGAAAGCAGCTGCTGCTGAACAGGGAGGCACGAGGAGAGAATGAGTGGGAGGAAGCAGAGAGGCAGGGGGGAAACATACAGCTTGGTGAGTTGCGTCATGCGACTGAGAGAGGCAGGAATGGTGCCGTTGAATGCATTTTGCTGCATGTCGCTGCCAACAAGGGGTACATGCGAGGAGAGGGAGGAGAGGGGAAAGGGTGTGACCAACATAACATATTTCAGTGACGTTTTAGTCAGTAATGGGTGAGTGTTGTTCAAAGCAAGAGCACGATTCGAAGCATTGGAACGGTTCGAACCAGGAGTAAGGTTGAAACAAAAGAAGTTGAACGCATGCTCGTGACTGCAGGCATGCGTGTGACTGCACACATGCTCGTGACAACACATGCTCGTGACAACACATGCTCGTGACAACACATGCTCGTGACAACACATGCTCGTGACAACACATGCTCGTGACAACACATGCTCGTGACAACTCATGCTCGTGTCAGCACATGCTCGTGACAGCACATGCTCGTGACAACACACATGCTCATCAGGCTTGGGATTGTGGAGAGCCAATCAGGAATGGCGCCTTCAAAGTAGTTATTGTGCAGGTTGCTGCATGGCAGAGCGGGGAGCAGAGCACGGGCAGATGCATGCAAGAATAAGTATCCTGTGGTCAGTGCGTCGAGTCGACCGTTTCTCTGACTTCTTTCAAGGTTAGATTGAGATGTATCCGCAAAAGCCTAGGCGCATTAGGGACATGGCTGCGGTCGCGAAATCAAATGGTTGTCTCGTGGCATCACATCACCACCACCACACCGTGGATTGCTTGACAGGGGGTACGGCTTCCTTACGTTGCATGCAGTGAGGTCCCACGTAGCGTGGCGTGGCAAAACGAGACAATGTGTAGCACTGCGAGTGAGTGGGTGAGTGAAGGATGCGTGCCGGTGCAATTAGTGAAGGATGCGTGCTGGTGCAATTAGTGAAGGATGCGTGCTGGTGCAATTAGTGAAGGATGCGTGCTGGTGCAATTAGTGAAGGATGCGTGCAGGAGTGTGAGCAGGGCGAGTTTGGCGGTAAGGTGGCTGACAGGAGGTCGAGGTTTGACATGGTGCTCAAGGCCGACGGGATGCTCCCCGTGAACCCGTTCATGCCAAGGTTCCTGCACATCACCACACGCAGTGCCGCACGGGCAGAGCAGCACAGGGAATGCATTATGTGCCCTGCTGGGTGGTACGAACGAAGGAGGAGACATGCATAGGATAGGCCTGGTGAACGCATCATCCAATATGCTTGCATCGTGCACTGCTGAGTGAGTGGAAACCTGCCTACAACACATGCATGCATGACACACACAATGCCCTGTGTGCATAGTCCAATCCACACTGCACCGCAAAAACGCACCCTTATTTTGTTCGCCTTTCCACATCCATGCACACCCTCATGAGTCATGGCCCATCCATGCCAGTACACGCACAGACACCACCGCTCTCCTCCCAAGTGACACCCCTCGGCCTGCCCAGCTGTGAGTGCAATGAAGGCAAGCATTACACTGAGACGAGCTGGGTGAGGTGCGACAGAGACTCGGGCAGCGACCCAGTCAGGCGGTTCTGTGCCAGGTACCTGCAGAGGACGGGTGGGAGAGCAGGAGCAGAGGGCAGAGAGCAGAGGGCAGAGAGCAGAGGGCAGAGAGCAGAGGGCAGAGAGCAGAGGGCAGAGAGCAGAGGCATGGCATAGCAGAGGGATTTGAAGGGTGGTGTAGCAACAGGTGGCTGCGTGGGGAGGTGAGAGAGGGGGAGATGAGGCATGTGACGTGACCTCATGCGATGAGTAGAGCCAGCGTCATGGAGCCGTGGGATGGATCAGGGGTGCGGTAGGGGTGGTACTGACAGGTAGGTGGGGCAGAGGTGGTACTGACAGGTAGGTGAGGGCTGTGAGCTTGCTGATGTCATCCGGTATGGAGCCGTTGAGATGATTCACTGTCAGCTTGCTGCATGCACAGCGCACACATGGGGATGCATGAGGATGCATGGGATAGATGGGGATGGGGGTGGTTGGGGATGGATAGGGGTGGATGGGGGAGGCATGGGATGGATGGAATGGGGGTGGTTGGGGATGGATAGGGGTGGATGGGGGAGGCATGGGATGGATGGACGCATGGGAAGGGCAGAAAGGAAAACGGATGAACAGGGGTATAAGAAACAGCTACTGTTGGGTTGGGAAAGGAAGACAGAGATGCGGATACATTACAGATGGGCCTATTTTGTGGGGTGGGGATAGGGATGGATGCGAGTTATTGAGATAGAAAATACTGATAGGAGCGGGTGAGTTGTATCTGAAGCTACAGCAGGCGCAACACGAGGCAGCGCTCACTGCTCTGCAGCTGCAGCTTGCTCGTGTTTCCTGCTCTCTTGGTTGAGTTGAGTTGGCCGCATGAAGCTCCTGCACTCTGCTCGCCACCACTCCTGTATGCCTTCGCCCCCACCCCAACAGGCAGGCATGGCAGCAGCACTAATGGCATGGCAAGCACCTCTAGGGACGCCCTCCGTCCCACGTGACGCACTGCATGCACACGCATGACATGACAGCACTCCCACCTGTCGCCTTCCCATCCACCCTCATCGCAACTCACACTTCTCGCTCTTTGACCCCACATGTCGCACAGCACCACTCACAAGCTGCGCAGCACCACTCACATACCGCGCAGCACCACTCACATGCCTCGCAGCACCACTCACATGCCGCGCAGCACCACTCACATGCCGCGCAGCACCACTCACATGCCGCGCAGTACCACTCACATGCCGCACAGCACCACTCACATGCCGCGCAGCAGTGGCAGGTTGAAGATGGCTGTTGGCAGCGACCCCACCAGATGACTCGACGTGATGGCCCTGCCTCTCCAGGGGGTGGGGTGAGAGGGGAGGTTGGTTGTTGGGGTGAGAGGGGAGGTTGGTTGTTGGGGTGAGAGGGGAGGTTGGTTGTTGGGGTGAGAGGGGAGGTTGGTTGGTGGGGTGAGAGGGGAGGTTGGTTGTTGGGGGTGAGAGGGGAGGTTGGTTGTTGGGGGTGAGAGGGGAGGTTGGTTGTTGGGGGTGAGAGGGGAGGTTGGTTGTTGGGGGTGAGAGGGGAGGTTGGTTGTTGGGGTGAGAGGGGAGGACGCGGGGCGGAGGGTGTGTTGGGTTTAGGGTAGGGCGCTTGTGGAGAAGGTGAGGACGGGAGACGGGGAGGCGATGGAGGGAGTGAGGGAGAAGGGTGGAACAGTGGTACAGCAGTGGCAGGAGTGTGCGTTAAAGGCATGTGAGGCGAAGATGGTAAGGGCAACGAGTGGATAGTACTTGCTCAGGACCCAAGAGACTGACAGGTAAGTGAGGTGCTGCAGCCCACTGACAACGTCCGGAATGGGCTTCCAAAATGCATTGCCCGACGTGGCCCTAAAGGGGAGCGCCGCGGGCCATGGGGAGAAGTGGGGGAGAGGAGGGGGGGAAGCAAACTCGTTTTCTTCGAAGTGTGCTGCTGCAGCTGTGATGTGATGGTGCAGCACTGCTAATCGCATGGCATGGCATGGCATGGCATGGCACAGAGAAAGCACGATGCTGTGCGCGGCGCATGCGGCGACGTTACAGTTGATGAGCGTGGGGAAATCAGCTTCAGAACTCTCATGCGGGAAGGACCAGTAACATGGGCGCATGCGCGCACGGGCCCATGGGTGCACTGACAGGGAAACAACGTAGCCATCGGGATCGCATGTGACGCCCTGCACCGTGGAGCAGTCGCTGTTGGGCGACCACGACTTGCCGTCCTCAAAGGGGCCCCACGCCGCCAGCACCGCCGATAACACCTTGACTGCGCGGAACCGGGGGGAGGGGTGACGATTCCACGTGGGCGCGCAGGGGCGAGACGGGACGAGGGTTGTGCGGTAGATGAGTGCGGTGCGGATGGTTGGGGAAGGGTGTGAGGGATTGGAGAGGGGAACGGAGTGGAGGGAGGGGAGGGAGGGGAAGGGAGGGAGGAAGAGCAGGTGAGATGGTAAAGGGGAATGGGGGCCGAGGCGTGTGAATGCCTTTTTGAGAATTCTCAAAAAACACAGAATGCCCATTGCAGGACAAGCGAGAGCGCTTCTGAGGAAGCGGAGCGAGAGAGTCACAGTAGCTTCTGAGGAGGAGAAATCTCGCATCACCCCTTCACGCCACCCCCCCACCGCCCCATGCCTTCCCATACCGTCGCATCTACCCATACCGCCCCATACCGCCCCACCGTCCGCCCAGGCGCACTCACAGTCTGCTGTTTGTATTCGGCGCGCCGCCACCAGCGTGCAGCGCGGGCAGTAGCAGGTGAGCAGCAGCAGGGGGAGTAGAGGAAGCACGAGATGGGTCTGCGGTTGGGAAGAGAGGCAGGAGTGAAGGGGAACGGGAAGGGGAGGAAATGACACGGGGAGAGGGGAGGGGAAGGGTCGGGGAGCAGGAGAGAGTGGGATCCACAGGGAGGCTGACCCAGTCGATGATACACTGTGCGACGATGCGCTGTGCGACGATGCACTGTGCGACGATGCGCTGTGCGACGATGCACTGTGCGACGATGCACTGTGCGATGATACACCAGCGAACGACTGCGACACGCAGAAACGCGTCACGCCCTAGTGGCGGCTCGGCTCCCCCAGACCGCCGCAGCCGCTGCGACCATCCCGTGCATGAAGACCCGCAGCACGGCGCGCGCTCGGCGCGCAGCTTCAGCCTCAGGCTCGCTCGTGATCTCTCGCTCTCGCTTCAGCTTCAGCGACCTTCGCTGCGTGAATCGTACACCAGGACGCACCTTCATGTGTCGCGCTCAGAAACCAGTCGCTCGTCGATTATCGCGATGGAAGAGAGGATGGTTGGGACGTACTGCAGAGCCAGGATTAGGAGTACTATTCGTTCTAGAGCAGCACTAGTAGCGTAGTGCATTGTGTTGAGCAACAAGAAAGCACAATGGTGTGTGCGGGTGGAGAGGGGAGGAGAGGACTCACAGGAGGAAGGGGGGTAGGTTTGTCTGACAGCGCAGCGTCAATTTGCATGCTACAGTGCCCACCACCACCGAATGAGGGACCGTTGGGCATGTTGGCCCCCGCGTGTCGCTTTGCCTCGCTGGCAGGCCCCGTGACTGATGTTGACTCCAGGGGGGATCTGCGAGTAGATATTCTCGACTCGATTAGAGCGCTTCCATCGATGATGAGTACACTTTAGGAGGAAACGAGGATAGCATTTCTTGGGCGACAGTGTCGCATTGCAAGTGATTACAAACAAAAATAAAGTCAGCATAGAAAATGCTGACTCTGTGGGCCCTCTCTAGAGCAATATATCCTTCCTGGTTGCTAGCATACTCTTGTAGTCATAATATAAACAATAAACTCAAGCTTAAAGAAGTAATGGCGTGTCACCTTGCCCAAAAGGGCCTGTATGCAACACCCTGTAGCGCATCAGCATCTCACACACGACAGATACACCTGACCTTTACATCGATCCTGGCCTCACCTCTCTTGCTCCCTCACCCCATGCTCCTCCTCACTAGCCTAGCCTCCCCTCTTGTTGCCCTGCCAGCCCACGCGTGTGAGCAGCTCTTCACGGTCAATGGTGGTGTCATCAGGCAGGTCAAGAGACTCCAGCTGCGTTAGCGCCGTCAGCTGCTGTAGCCCGTACTCCCCCACCGCCGTATGATACACACTCAGCACCTCCAGCCCCGTGAGCCGACCCACATGCACCATGCCGGCGTCTGTGACCCCAGGCGGCAACACGAGTGACACAAGGTCGGTGAGTGAGGTGAGGTGCTGCAGGCCTTCGTTTGTCACGCGGGTGTCGGGGAGAGAGAGCCCTCGCAGACTGGTGAGGCGCCCCACATGCAGCATGCCAGCAGAGGTGACTTCCTGGCAGCCACACAGCGACAGCTGCAGGAGCGCCGGTAGTGCGGCTAAGTGCTGCAGGCCAGCATCTGTGACCCCATGGGGAATGGCGAGCATGGAGAGGCGCGGCAGGCAGGTCAGCTGTGGCAGCACATCATCTCCCATGTCACAACCGCTCAAAGATAGATCTTCCAGTCCAGTCAGCCGGCCCACATGGACCAGGAGAGCCGGGGTGAGGTTGTGGCAGTTGCCCAGGGAGAGGTTAGTGAGTGAGGTGAGCGCAGTGAGGGGCTCCAGATCGCCGTCGCACACACTCGTGTTGTCCAATACAAGCGTCTCGAGACTGCTCGCTGCGCCAATGCCCTCCAGAGACACTGTTTCGTCGCCTTCCCAACCCACTGGTGTGCCACAGAGAACAAGGGTGGTGAGGCTGGGCAGGGCGTAGAGGTGCTGAAGGCCCTGGGTGGTGAAGCCGGAGGAGTTGGAGAGGTCGAGGGTGGAGAGGCGGGTCATGCCGGCCACATGTGCCAGCACTGCGTCTGTCAGCGATGCCTCCCCGCACAACTCTAGCTCCGCCTCCTGCGATGCTGCCAGGATCTTCTGCGGAGAGGGAGTGTGTGGAGAGGGATGGGCGGAGAGGGATGGGCGGAGAGGGATGGGCGGAGAGGGATGTGTGGAGAGGGAGTGTGCGGAATGACAGTGCAAGATTTGAAAAAAAAGTGGGTAAGGAGCATGCCACAGACTATGCGTATGCTAAAGAGGAAACGCAGGTCCATGAACGCACGACTAGTGCAAAGCTGGGACGAATTGACAGAAGCAGCCAGCATGGCCACTCACGTGCCACATCTCGCGGCTCTCACCCTCCTCGCTGCCAATCACCCCCTTCACCGCCGCCAGCTCTCTCTTCATCTCCTCCACCTCGCCCCTCACCCGCTGCACGTCCCTCCTCTGCACGAACGCCTCCTCCCGCACGGCTGCGACTTCCCGCTGCAGCGCTGCCAGCTCACTCCTCACTTCCTGCAGCGCCTTCATTGCTGCCTCGCCCGCTGCGCACGCCTCCTCGCGCGCACGCTTCCCCATTGCTGCCATGCCCCTCCCGCTCGCTGCTTCTAGGTCCCGATGGGTGCTCGTGCTCTCGTGAAGGGCTGTGCCAGGTGGTAGAGGAGTCGGCACCGGTAAGGCCGAGATGAGAGAAGGGGGCGGTGGGGAGGACAGAGGGCGAGGGGTGAAGAAGCTACTGTGACGCGTTTGGAGAGGAGGGGAGGAGAAGGGGGGAGCAAGAAAATGGACGAGAAAGGCCGTGCACGGTGAGCTGGGGGAGAGGTATAATAAAAATGGAGCGTGACGTGACGCGAGCCCAGAGTGGGAGGAGCAAGGGGAGCGAGACTATGAGCTGTGCTAGAAGTACCTAGGATATGCTAGGAGCTGGCAATGCACGCAGCAGGATGATGCGCGCAGGGAACACAACGGGCAAGGGATGTGACGGCAGCGGTTCGGTTCGGAATGCACGGTGCATGTGTGCGTGGGTGAGCGGCGTATGTGGTTGCAAAGCCGCTGAGCTGCAGCCACGGCCGTACCTATGAGCCTAACCCGAGCTCTCGTAACAAACGAGACGCCTCGAAGCCGCGCGGCGACTGGAGGTTCGGCAGTGCAGCGGGCCCGACGCGACCCGCTTCAATAACGCGAGAGATGATATTTGGAACACCTATGCGCGGGTGCACCCAGGAGGCTTAGGTCTGTAAAAGTTCACTCGACAGTCCCCTGCCAGTGTGCGGCGGGCTGAGGCGACGCGTGTGGTTGCGCGTTGCGCCGACGAGGCAGCTTCGGCGCTGCGATGGCGTGAGGCAGCGATTGTAACTAGCGTGGGGAAGAACTTACAGAGAGAAATCAGTTTAGGGTGGAATGAGATATTCTGCATGTCAGAGTGGCTAGTGAGAACGATGATGTGGTGAGACTGGGGGAGAATGACCAGACCTTCCCCCCCCCCCCCCCCCCACCCGCCTCATCCTTTTTTTTTCGTTTTGTAACAGCACACCCATGTACTTCATTATACCTTCCCTAAATATTATACTAGAGTGCACAAAAAATGTTACAAAATCGTGTACCACCCCCCTATTCATCATGAACTTCAGTCTGCACCAGGGGTCTACTATACGGGGGATTAGTTATAACCATATCATAAATTATATATCAAACCTTAAAACGAGGGTCTAGATTTGACAAGCGGGGGTTCAGAAGTTTTTGTTTTGAACCAGGCTTGCCAGCGCGAAAGTGTTGGCTAACGAAAACCTGGATTTCGTGCGGACACTTTTCCTCCGCCAGGGTTTTGGGTTTCAGGTGGCAAATGTGCACCGTCGCTTTAAAGAGGTGATGACACCTTGCTGAACAGCAGTAACACCCTGTAGCGCATCCACGTGTCGCACGGTAGGTACAACTGATGCTCACATCGGCCATGGCCTCACCGCTCTTATCCCTCACCCCATGCCTCTTCCCACTGGACTAGCCTCCCATCTTCCTGCCCTCCAAGCTCAAGCGTCGGAGCAGGGCGTCATGGTCCATGCTGGTGCCATCAGGCAGGTCCAGCGACCACAGGCGCGTGAGTGGCGTGAGGTGCTGCAGCCCATGCCACCCCACCGCCCTATGCGACAGCCTCAGCATCCACAGTCCCGTGAGCTGCCCCACATGCACCATGCCAGCATCTGTCACCCCAGAGGGCAGTATGAGCGACAGGAGGTTGGTGAGTGAGGTGAGGTGCTGCAGCCCTTGGTCTGTCACAAGGGTGTCGGGGAGAAAGAGGCCCTGCAGGCTGGTGAGGCGTCCCACGTACAGCATGCCAGCAGAGGTGACGTCCTGGCAGCCACACAGCGACAGCCTCCGCAGCGCCGGCAGCGCGGCCAGGTGCTGCAGGCCGGCATCTGTGACCCCGGGAGGCGCGGTGAGCGAGGAGAGGCGCGGCAGGCAGTTCAGCTGCGGCAGCACTTCGTCCCCCATGGCACAGCCACTGAGGGATAATTCCTCCAGTCCAGTCAGCTGGCCCACATGGGCCAGGAGAGCCGGGGTGAGGTTGTGGCAGTTTTCCAGGGAAAGGGTTGTGAGTGAGGTGAGCGCAGTGAGGGGCTCCAGATCAGAGTCGTCCACGCTTGTATGGTCCAGCTTGAGCGTGTGAAGCTGGCTGGCTGCGCCAATGCCCTCCAGAGACACTGTTTCGTCGCCTTCCCAACCCACTGGTGTGCCACAGAGAACAAGGGTGGTGAGGCTGGGCAGGGCGTAGAGGTGCTGAAGGCCCTGGGTGGTGAAGCCGGAGGAGTTGGAGAGGTCGAGGGTGGAGAGGCGGGTCATGCCGGCCACATGTGCCAGCACTGCGTCTGTCAGCGATGCCTCCCCGCACAACTCTAGCTCCGCCTCCTGCGATGCTGCCAGGATCTTCTGCGGAGAGGGAGTGTGTGGAGAGGGATGGGCGGAGAGGGATGGGCGGAGAGGGATGGGCGGAGAGGGATGGGCGGAGAGGGATGGGCGGAGAGGGATGGGCGGAGAGGGATGTGTGGAGAGGGAGTGTGCGGAATGACAGTGCAAGATTTGAAAAAAAGTGGGTAAGGAGCATGCCACAGACTATGCGTATGCTAAAGAGGAAACGCAGGTCCATGAACGCACGACTAGTGCAAAGCTGGGACGAATTGACAGAAGCAGCCAGCATGGCCACTCACGTGCCACATCTCGCGGCTCTCACCCTCCTCGCTGCCAATCACCCCCTTCACCGCCGCCAGCTCTCTCTTCATCTCCTCCACCTCGCCCGTCACCTGCTGCACGTCCCTCCTCTGCACGAACGCCAACTCCCACACCCGGAATACTTGCTGCCGCAGCACTGCCACCTCGTCCGCCAGGCTTTGCTTCGCTGCTGCTGCCTCCCGCAAGGACGCCACTTCCCACTGTAGCGCCTCCACGTCGTCCGCCACGCTGTGCTTCTGTGCCTCCACCTCCCGCATCGACCCCACTTCCCGCCGCAGCGCTGCCACCTCGTCCGCGAGGCTCTGCTCCGCTGCAGCCTCCTCCCGCACGGACGCCACTTCCCGCTGCAGCGCTGCAACTTGATCCGCCAGACTGTGCTTCTGCGACTCCACCTCCCGCATCGCCGCCACTTCCCACTGCAGCGCTGCCAGCTCGCCCCTCACCGTTTGCAGCGCCCTTGTAGCTGCCTTCCCTGCCGCGCACGCCTCCTCGCGCGCCCCAGCCATGCCCCTCTCGCTGCTTCTAGGTTCCGGTGGGTGCTCGTGTTCGCTACGTGAAGGCCCGTGTCCGGTGGTAGAGGTATCGGCTCTGAGTAGGGGGGCGGTGGAGGCGCAGGGGGGAGTTGGAGTAATAGCTGTGCGTGAATGATCATCAATGGCGACATGCATGTAGCGTACCGCTACAAGCGCCTCATTTCTTAAAATCACAAACCACTGCTACAAACACCGCATTCGCTAAAAACACCGCATTCGCTACAAAAACTCCATTCGCTACAAACAATGCATTCGCAACAAGCACCTTAGAAGGATGCGGGAAGTAGAGGGAAACACGGAATGGCGGCCCGGGGAAAACAAGCAGGACGAACAATACGCAACTGGCAATGCACGCAGCAGGATGATCACCGCTAATGGAGCGCAACGACCAAGGGATGTGATGGCAACGCGGCGGGATCGACGCGACCTGCTTGGGTAATGCGTGGGGTTACTATATGCGCAGTGGCACCTAAGAGGCTTCAAGAAGTATCTAATAGTCGACTCGGCAATCACCTCACAGTAAGGGGCGGGCTTAGACGATGCGCGTGGCTGCGCGTTGCGCCGACGAGGGGGCTTCGGCACGGCGACGGAGCGAGGCGCGGGTGTAGTGCGACACAGGTAGGGGAGAACGCGCGGAGAGAAATCGGACAGGTACGTGAGAACGACGAGAAAGGTGAAAGAAAAATGTGGTGGGATTTGAGAGCCCAGGCCTGAACTGTAGCAGAAGCTGTAGAGCCACCGCTAAAAGGGTTTGGTGAACAGTTGCAAACAAGAGGCAGCGGCGAGAAAGTGTGGTGACGTACTTTTCCGTGCATTTTGGTATGCAGCGGCGCGGTGCAGTATTGCGTCAAACAGAGAGCGGAACATGTCTCTCAGATCTTGTTGCATCCTTGCCACACATTCTGTTCGGAACCTGAGTGCAGTTCGCAATGGGACAGCACGAGGTTTGACGAACTTGCCTGGTGTGATGTGCGCCGCTCCAGCAATGCTAACGAGTTCTGGTTACTCTCCTGACGAATTCCGCAAACTCTCATTCGGCCAGTTGCCAACCTACCTGCTCCACGACGCCACGCAAGCTTGGAACGGGGATGGTAGGAATAAATTGCAACCCTAACCACTAAATACTCGGGCCGCACTGCCCACTCGCTCTCAAAACCTCGTACACGGGAGACGTGGACTGACGGCTGTATGGTGGCGCCGTGACGACCGGAGGCGCCCATCTCCTCACACTACACCTCGCCGCACCCTTCTCTTCCCTTCTCCACCCGCTCCCACTCATCCTCCCACTCTTCCATGGCGGACGCTTCCGCCGCTCCGCTTCCCCCCGTTCCGCCGTCCCCGCCAGTGGCCCTCGTCTGCGCGGCCCTCACGTCGCTCGACCAGCCGCTCCAATGGCGCCCCGGCAGTCCCGCCGCGGGCGGAATCTACAACCGAGCCACCGCGCCCTTCCGCGCGCACAGCGCGCCCGGGGGGCTTCCGCGGCGACGGCAGCGGGTGTTGGCAGCCGCGAGATGAAGGAGGGGTACGTGGAAAACACGCGCGCGCAGGGGAGCGGGTGCAACTCGGTGTAACGCGCGTGGGAGTGGGACGCGGTGGACGTGCGGGCTTACTTGAGCCACCACCTGGTGACGCTGCCGCCCGTGGCATGGCGCAACTGCTGCCGCACGCACGGCGTGCAGGTGCGCATTGGGGGAAGGGAGAGAGAGAGAGAGAGAGAGAGAGAGAGAGAGAGAGAGAGAGAGAGAGAGAGAGAGAGAGAGAGAGGGGGGGGGGTGTTTGATTTGGGTGTTGGAGAGATGCGTGTAGGCGGATGGCGGGAATCGCCATGGCATGAGGCTTGTGGGGGTGCGGCTGGGTGAGATGGGATGGAATGCAGGGGAAAGGAAGGAAAGGAAAGAGAAAAACGAGGATGATGAATCAGTCAACGGACGCAACGGCTTGCTTTGGTCATTGCCATGTCATGCGCCATACGCCATGCGCCATCTTCCACCATGCCACCATGCCACCATGCTACCATGCCACCATGCCACCATGCCACCATGCTACCATGGCACCATGCCACCATGCCACCATGCTACCATGCCACCATGCTACCATGCCACCATGCCACCATGCTATCATGCCACCATGCCACCATGCTACCATGCCACCATGCCACCATGCTACCATGCTACCATGCCACCATGCCCTCGCCGCTGGCATTCCAAGTCCTTTTGTTCTGCCGTACCCATACCAATCCCTTTCCACTGGATACACCTGTGCATGGCATGGCATGGCATGGCATGGCACGGCATGGCACACCCGCCCCTTCCACCTTCTATTCCCCCAAACCCGCTCCTTCCATCCCCAGGTACTGGGCACATTCATCACTGAGTGTTGGGCGGGCGCTAAAGTGTGCCAGCAGCTGCTCGCCTCGCCCGCCACTGCTGCTCACCAGGTCGCCCGCCTCGCACACTGCCACGGCTTTCATAGCTGGCCTGTATGCTGGGCTGGGGGTGGAAAGGGGGGGTGAGGGGGAAGAGGGATGTCACCCTTGCAGCCCGTCGCTGGGGGAGTCTGTGGGGCATGGGGGGCTTGTGGGGCAGGCAGGGGGTGGGACGAGGTGGGGCGGGGCACAGGGTGATGTTTGATGGGCGTGGTTGGGGTTTGGTTCGATTGGGTGTGCCTGTGGTGGATGGGACGATGTCTTGTGCTCCTTGCTGCTGCCTTGCGTGTCTTCTGAGCCACCAAGCCGTGTTGCCATGCTGCACTCTGCACACGCTAGCACGAGTCTCCCCGCACAAGCTGTGCGCTTGGCACTTGCTTCACGTGCATTTTATTATCCCCGCCCACACCATACCCCACCTCCACTTCCCCGCTCATCCCCATCATTGTCACCTCACAGCAAGCATCCCTCACACCGCACCCCACCGCACGGCACCGTGTTCCGAGTGGCAGGTGAGCACAGAGATTGCGGTGGAGAAGTAGAGGGTGCCCACGCTGTTGCACTTCCTGCACACCCTCACCCACCCACCACATGCACGCCCTCTCCCACCCACACCCTCGTCCCCTGTTCAGCTGTCCACAGTCCACCGTGCCCGCCCTCCTCGCCCTGTTCTTCGCCATATCCCCCCCCTTCTCCTCTGCTACAGGCTGCCTTTGCCGCCCACCCACCAGTGTCTTGCCGCTTTTCTGCTCTGCCATTGTTTCCCTTCGCTCTTATGGCTTCACCCCATCCCTTCCCCCGCCAGCACTCCTAACTGATGTTGTCTCCCCCTCTCCCCCCTCTCTCCCCCCGTTTCCTCCTCTCCCCCGCTCTCCCCCACCCTCCCCCCTCTCCCCACACTCTCCCCCTCTCTCCCCGTTCTCTCCCCCCTCTCCACCGTGCAGGTACAGCAGTGTGACGGAGGACGGCAAGGTGAGGTGGCAGGACGCGCTCACAGCGGCCAACCGCTGCTGCTTCCGCGCCTGTCATGCCATCTTCACTAACTACTCCTGCCAGGTTCGCTGCTGCTGCCCTGCTGCCCTTCTGGTCCTGTTGCTTGCTGCCTTGCTGCTTTGTTTCTCCAGTTTCCTTCCCCTCCTCACTTCCCAACCCCTCTCGCCCCACTCCTCCCCTCCCCCATGTATCCACACGCACCACAGCACATGCCACTCATGCTCCCATCACCCGCCCTTGCGTCAACCACCGCCCCTCCCTGCCACGCCCTCCCTCCGCACGCTTCCCTCCCTGGCCCCACCACCACCACCACACCACACCAGGGCCGTGCTCAGGTGCACTCGTCCGTGGTCCTTGTGGGCAGCCGTGCAATCGATGTGTTCATGGGGGTGGACTGCTGTCTCGCACCGGGCCGTGCCGCCAGGCCAAGGGCTTTGCCACAGGGCAGGCGGTGAGCGTGGCGCTGCAGAGAGGGGCGTCGGCCGCTGTGTTTGCACCCGCGTGGGTGTATGAGACTCGCAAGGGGGAGAGCTTTGACGCGGCGCAGGAGAGGTGATGGCGGGAGAGGGGAGTGTAGCATTGTGTGACTTGGGTTGGCTTGTCGTGGCATGGCGTGGCATGGCGTGGCATGGTGTGGCATGGCTAGTATGGCATGGTGTGGCATCGCATGCCATGGCAAGGGAGAGGAATGGGGAGGAGGTGGGAGGAGGGGAAGGTGTGGTGGGAAGGGGAAGATGGGGATTGTGCAGGAATGGGGATGATTTAGTGTGAATGGGTGTGTGCAGCACAGATGCAAAAGCAGAGGGTGGAAGGAAGGACTAACAGGCGAGTGCGCAGTGAGAGGCAGCCTCACAGATGTCGTGTGTGCATGCGTGGTGCAAGCAAAAGACAGGGCCCATTCACTCATCCATGCTCCCTCCCTCCTGCCATGCCTTGTGTATGCTGTGCTGCTGTACCCATGCACCCCACGAGTGCAATTTCACAAACTACTTCCCTCGCACACCCTGCTGTCGACTTACTACCCCCCTGCATCTCTTCCCCTCCCCCCTGCCCACTTTCTCTGCCTTTTCGCCCTGCGCTTACCCCCTGAGATTTCTTCCTTTTCCCTCCCCCTGCTCCCTCGTCCCCCCTTCCCCCCACCCCCTACGTTGCCCCCTTCCAGTTCTCTCTCCTCCTGCCCCCCCGCCCTTGCCCCTTCTCTTTCCCCCCACCAGGCTATGGCTCGGCATTCGCACGGCCCTCCACTCGCGCCGCTCCCACACCTCTCCTTGCAACCACAGCACGGCGGGCAAGGGGATGGGGCACAGGGGTGCAAGAGCGAGGCATTGAGAAGGGGGAGCAGGCAGGTGGAGGGATGAGTGTTGCAGGGGAGGGTGGGGAACGGGGAGCTGTGTGTGCAGGGGCTGTAGCAGGCGAGTGCAGTGTGGAGTGTGGGGGGGAGGAGGTGCGAGGCCGGTTTTCCGTCTTCACGTCCTTCGACCAAGTGTGTGCTCCTATGCCAGCATGCGCCCATATACGCATCGCACCTATGCTCCTGCCGATCTGCACGCCTGTGCACACCATGCCATGCCTCTCTCACTGCATGTCCTCTCCGCTCCCTTCTTTGTATCTTCTCCAATGTCCCTCACTGCCATGCCTCCAATCCGCATCACTCCTCCCCTTGCTTCCCTCCACTCCATTTTCTTCCTCGAATCCCTTTCCCTCGCCCCCTCACTTTCCACCCCCCCTTCTCTTCTCCTCCCCTTTTCTCTTTCCCTTGCCCCTCACATTTAACGCACACTCACAGCGTCCCCACACCGCCTCGTCCCCCCTCATTCTTTTTCCCTTCCCTCCCTCAGGGCGTCGGCACCAACATGTGGCTGTCTGACCGCCAGGTGGCGAGCTCCCATTGGAGCAACTTCTCCTGCCAGACGTGGAGGGAGAGTGGCAGGGCGGCAGAACTAGAGGGAGGCAAGCAGGGCAGGAGGCAAGGGACAGTGAGGGCTCAGACTGGGCTGGGTGGTTGGGGGCTGGGGGGTTGTGGGGTTGGGGCTTTTGGGCTGGGGAGTTGGGGGGTGGGGGGTTGGGGATTGGGGTTAAGACTGGGTTGCAAGCAAGGGACAGGGGCTTGGGGGGGGTGGGGCAAGAGGGGATCTGGGGAGATGTGGTGTGAGGGGATTGGGTTTGGGGGTGGGGGAGGGACAAGGCTATGTGTATGGTACAGTGCCAGTGCTGCTAGTGCTCTGGGTGCTGGCAGTGCCGCCACAGGGGTGAGCAGTGCAGCACCTGCGTGCGTACATATGTCACACTCCTTGGGACTCTGCCCCCTCCTCTCCCTTTGATCTCACTCTCTTCACTCTACCCCTTCCACACCCACCTTCACACAACTGCTCTACCCTCCCAGTTCCCCCGGCATGGCTACGCCCCCCTTCTCTCCCCCACCCTCTTCCCCCCCACCCTCTTCCCCTCCACCCTCCTCCCCCCCACCCTCTTCCCCCCAAAGTGCACACGCACGCACACATACAGCCACGGCTTCCATCCAGCCTGCCCGCACCCACCCTCTGTCCTGTTGGAAACAAGTGATTGAAGCGCTTGTGCTGTGTCGAAACATCAAGTTGTAAACGAAGCGAAGCACAAACGAAACATCGGCGAGTCAACTATCGTAGGTTGACAAATGAAGTAACCGCTGGAGGTTACTCGAAGTTCAAAGATCAACGACCTTGACTTGACAAATACAGCACGACAGCAAGGACAAACAATTGTCTCGATACAGAGCAGTTGCCCGAGTTGTCACTATATCGAACCGCAACAGCAACAGTAAAATAGTTATTACTGGTAGCTGCATCCTTTCATATTCCTTTCCTTGTACTCTTAGGGTGTATCTTTGGTTTGGGTCATGGCAGTGTTTGGGTCATGCGCGAATCCCGCATGACCCAAACAGCACAAAACGGAACTTTGGGTCATGAGAGCTCAAGCGACTCAAGGATGGGCGCGCGACTGAAATGTGAAAAATCGCCCGCCGTCGAAAAGTCGCCCCCAATGGCGAGAAGCCAAAACATTTCGCACGTAGGCGAAACCCACTTTGAGCGACTCCCACGTCTCCTTCCCAACCGTCACAATTCCGGCGGGAGATGTCAATTTGAGATCCGCCACCATTCACAAACCAAACCCAACCACATCCGAGGTAGAACCTCACACAGGTTTCACAGTCATCCGCAACCAAACAACACAAACACAAGTAGCATTGGTTTGTAGGCACTACCCGCTACTGTCAAACACGCCACCCATAGCTATCGAGAGCGCAAGTAGAAAGACGAAGTAGGCACAGAATGCCACCACGTAAAAATGTTCGCGGCAAGGGCAAGGAGAAAGTGCCCGATGATGAACCGATCGAGGACTCCCCTTACGTAGCCTGTATGAAGGCGCAGCAGAAAGAAGGAAAAGCGGGTCCTTCCATCAAGCGCCTTGCCAAGCCATGGCGCGATTATGCAGGAGCAAGTTCCAGCCGCGTGCAGCGCAATGAAAGTGGCGAAACTGGAGGCGACACAGACGTCAGCGACGATGACCTCGAGGAGATCGTCTTTGAATCTGGAAGCGAGGATGACTCGGATAACTCCAAGGGCGCAAGTGACGAAGATGATAACGACTCCGACGGAGGCGATGATGCGAGCGGCGCACACCGACGCACCGGTGGATCGAGGCGTGATAGGCGCCAATCGACCTCAAGCAGCAAGCGCAAGTGGGAGATGCACGAGCTAGTGTCACTTGCGGCGGCCCGGTGGAATATGAAAGATGACCTCAAGGCGATGCAAGGGAAGCAGGGAAGTCAGTACTGGAAGAAGCTCCGCGCGCACATGAAGGAGAAGGACTCGACGTGGGACCGGGAGAGCGTGCAAATGTCCATGGCGTGGAAGCGGATTGAGAAGGAATACCTGGACACTCAACGGAAGGAGGGGACTAGTGGCGGAAAAGCCATAAAAAATAAGCCATGGTGGGACTACGTCTACCACCTGAGAAAGCACTCCGCGAAGGCGAAGGCGCACGCGCTTGATGGTGGCGGGGCAGCGACCATCAATGTCGACGCCTATGCCTCCGTGCCAGCGCAAAACGATCCGCAATCATCGGGGGCTCCGTCTCCGACACGAGCGCGCGGAGCCCGGCTTCAAGCATCTACCCCTGGTGCGTATACGGGTTGTGTTTTATAATCGTAATGAGCGGCATTAACTGTGTTGTTGGTTGGATGGTTGTTTGACTTATTGCACGCTGCATGAAGACAAACCTTAGAACATTACAACTCATGAGATTAAAAACACGGCCGCCTTATTCCCTATTTTCCTACACCCCCCCCTACAGATGCAGGTGTCACACCACCTGCCAAACGCCGCCGGATAGAGGAGACCGCGACAATGGCGGCCGCTAAGCTAGTGAGCGAGGCCATCAACTCCACCAATGCCTCCACGCTACGGTAGCTGCAGGATTCCACTCAACTGCTCGTCGCGGCGATGCACATGGCGGCGCTTCAGGCTGGGCTGCGATTGCAGATCCCGAACTCACCAGCTCCCAATGCCGTACCACCAACTTCGCGGCCGCCTGCCCAGCCGGATGCAGAGGGAGATGCAACGATGGACGGGTCCGATGATGGTGCTGAGGAGCCGGATCCTTAGCGCAAAGAGCTGGAGACCGGGTTGCGCCTGAGGTAAGCACGATGAATGTGCTTGCCAAAATGGCGCCTTCGTGCACGCAAATCCGCCAGCGAGGGGTTGTCTAGCGTCGGCCAGTTGTACGTGCTCATCCTGCTACGGGTCCACCACCCATTTGGGAGGCCCGCCCACAGGGTGCGCCTTGGGTTATGCGTTTTCATCCTCGGTGTGCTCACTTTCTGCATCATGTTGTGCAGGATGATGATGCAGGCCGTCCCGGCGCAAACCCTCCAGAGCTTGCTCTCGTGCCTCCTTGCGAAGGCCATCGACCCTTCAGCGCGCCGATCGTCCTCTCGACCACCATGCGCGTCGCCGACTGGACGTAGTTGTACGTCTGTTCCCATTTCTTCATGAGTCGACGGCGGGGTGCATGGACGGGAGTGAGGCAGTAGGACGTTAGAGGATAGGCGGCATCTCCTACGATCTGATAAGGGGCGATTTCCCCATTTTCGAGCCTGCCATAGAGATCAGTGGTCTTGAAAACACCCTGGTCATGCATAGATCCAGGATTCCCCACATTGTAATCCCATATGACGCCTTTGGAGTCGCATGCCACTTGTAACTGAACGCTGTAGATTGACTTCCGATTGTAGTAATCGGCACGATGCGCCTCCATGCCCCTGATCTCCACGTGGGTGCCATCTATGGCACCAATGACGTTGGGGCAACCCTTGATGGCGCGGAAGTCAAGCGCCATCTCTTCACGCTCGTCCTCAGCTGGGAACCGCACCCAGTCACGTTTGAACCGCCTTGGGAACCACACCAGAAAGGCATCAACTAGCTGGTGAATGACAGCCTTGGGCAGCCCCAACATGATGCTCAGGTCATGGAACGTTAGCGCACTTGCAAAGTACTTAATTGGGATAACGCAACACAAAGAGAGAGGAATGCCGTGCCTCTCGATGAAATGCGAAAGAGGGTGCGCCATTCCGTCCGCGATGATGTCGAGGACGTCGCGGGTGATGCAGAACGTGTCCTCGAATTCCTCGTCAAGCATCGCCCTGAGCTCCTCCGTCCATTCTCGAATGCGTTGCTCACGACGCCTTTTCCAACTGTCACGGCGCTCTTGGGCCTTGCGAATACGTTCCTCATCCTCAGCCTGCGACATTGGCAGAATCGTGGTGATCCACTCTAGAGCGGCGAGCGACACTATGCGCTGCCAAGTGTTTATTAGGTGCTCATGCCAGAGATGCAACCCAACACAGAGTATGAGCAGATGTGTCGTGAGCATGGTGAGCCTCCAGAAAGAGGCGGCATTGTGTCGTTTCCTAACTCGTGAGCGACGGATGTTCTACGTGCCTCCAGAGCGCGTCTACCATTATCGCGCCTTCTTGCCTGGGACCCTATGGTCACCTTGGTGGGGCGCGGCTTGCTTTTATCGGAGGTCGTTTTGTGCGGGGCGAGGCGCGAGGGAGTTTCTCTTCTGGATTTGTGCAGGCTACACATCTGTAGACTGGTGAAGGTCTGTCGATTTACAAGTACGCCAACTTCAATTGTGGTGTAGTCGGGAAATTGAGGGGGGGGAGTACGGTTTGACGACCGTCTAAAGGGGGGTACCGAATGTGCGGTCGAGCAGTGATTGGATTGGTGGGGGTCAGATCGTGCACGTCAGTCGCACAAAGCTTGCACATTGACCTGAAGCTGGGACCGCGCGAGCTTCGGAGTACCACTTTGGGTCATGCGCGAATTCCGCATGACCCAAACAGTACTATGAACAGTGCCATGACCCAAAACAAAGATACGCCCTTATAAAACCTTGTATCTTCTTGTTTTAAAGCCCGAGTACAGCATGGTAATTTTCAAGTTCAAGATTCTTGAACTTGAAGTCGCCAATAACAGGGTTACCCTAGTTTTGAGAAAATTCTCGCGACCCCAGGCAATCGTCCTGCGACAACGGAACCCGAGTGCCCAAAACCAGAACTGACGCAATGATCGCCAACCATTTGTACTATTCACCACTCACATTACTTGCTTACCAAGTAGTACTCATAGGCTAGGAGGCTCCAAGGCAAAAACTAGCGCTAGTTGGCAAAAGTGAGTCGTTGATAGGTGTTTTTTTTTGTGCGGAAGGAAATATAAGTCCACCTCAACCATCTTAGTCAGTGCACGCTCTAATCTCTCCCTCACGTCATCGGTCTCGTGTTACAACCCGTACACCCACGGCACTTACGTTAGTAAACGAGATTCGCGTTACTCGAGTCTTGCATTCAAGCTCGCGCCGCACACGCAGGATCTTGTCACACTTGCTGCCATTCAGCCTCGTGTCACGATCGTAGCGTTTTAGGCACGGGTCGCTCACGCGAATGCCGTACTGGTTCACGTAACGCACTCAGCCGTTAGTCGCACATGTTCCTCCTCGTCGGCCGCTCTTGCCCACGTCAGACCGCTTTCCTCGTCGCCCGCGCTTTCCCTCATTACCATCCCCGACCCTCTGGTCGCATATGTTCTCGCAGTTACCCACGCTCTCCCACGTTAACCACACATCCCCTCGTCGCAATTGCCAGTAGTAAACATACCGCGCTTCAGATCGTCACCCGCGCTCCCCTCATCACCCTCGTCGACCCACACCGATCCTCGCCGCCCTCACCTCCCTTGTTCACCGACATTCCCTCTCGTCGCTCGCGCTTCCCCTCATCACCCGTGCCGACCCTCGCCGCCCTCGCCTCCCCTCGTCGCCCGCGCGTCCCGTCGTCGGGCTTCCCTCCCAGTCACTCGCGCTTCCCCTCGTCATCCGCGGTTCCATCCGCTCTTCCCCTCTCCCCATCTCACCATCTCCAGCCCATCCTTCCTCCCTCATTCCTTCAGAAGGGGTGGGACAGATGGGGAGGAACAGGTGGGGAGGAACAGATGGGGAGAAACAGAGGTGGCCGCTTCCGCCACCACATTCGAACATCGTTTTGATTCCCTCTCTGCTCCCCACCATCCTCCCCCCAGCTCTCTCCCCGGCATCTGCCCCCGTTCCCCCCATCCTCTTCCCTGTTTCCCCGTAACCCCTGCCGTGCTTTCCCCCATCCTATCCCCTCTTGCCCCGTATCCCCTGCCCTGCTTCCCCCCATCCCCTTCCCTGCTTCCCCCCATCCCCTTCCCTGCTTCCCCTCGTCCCCTCCCCTGCTTTCCCCCATCCCCTTCCCTGCTTCCCTCAATCCCCTTCCCTGCTTTCCCCCATCCCCTGCCCTGCTTCCCCCCATCCCCCTCCCTGCTTCCCCCCATCCCCTTCCCTGCTTCCCCCCTTCCCTTTCCCTGCTTCACCCCATCCCCTCCCCTGCTTCCCCCCATCCCCTTCCCTGCTTCCCCCCATCCCCTTCCCTGCTTCACCCCATCCCCTTCCCTGCTTCCCCCCATCCCCTTCCCTGCTTCCCCCCATCCCCCTGCCTGCTTCCCCCCATCCCCTTCCCTGCTTCCCCCCATCCCCTTCCCTGCTTCCCCCCATCCCCTTCCCTGCTTCCCCCCATCCCCTTCCTTGCTTCCCCCTTTCCCTTTCCCAGCTTCACCCCATCCCCTCCCCTGCTTCCCCCCATCCCATCCCGTGCTTCCCCCCATCCCCTTCCTTGCTTCCCCCCATCCCCTTCCCTGCTTCCCCCCATCCCCTTCCCTGCTTCCCCCCTTCCCTTTCCCTGCTTCACCCCATCCCCTCCCCTGCTTTCCCCCATCCCATCCTGTGCTTCCCCCCATCCCCTTCCCTGCTTCCCCCCATCCCCTTCCCTGCTTCCCCCCATCCCCTTCCCTGCTTCCCCTCGTCCCTTCCCCTGCTTCCCCCCATCCCCCTCCCTGCTTCCCCCCATCCCCTTCCCTGCTTCCCCTCATCCACTTCCCTGCTTCCCCCCATCCCCTCCCCTGCTTCACCCCATCCCCTTCCCTGCTTCCCCCCATCCCCTCCCCTGCTTCCCCCCATCCCCCTCCCTGTTTCCTCCCATCCCCTCCCCTGCTTGACCCCATCCCCTCCCCTGCTTCCCCCCATCCCCTCCCCTGCTTCCCCCCATCCCCTTCCCTGCTTCCCCTCATCCCCTTCCCTGCTTCCCCCCATCCCCTCCCCTGCTTCCCCCCATCCCCCTCCCTGCTTCCTCCCATCCCCTTCCCTGCTTCCCCCCATTCCCTTCCCTGCTTCCCCCCATCCCCCTCCCTGCTTCCCCCCATCCCCCTCCCTGCTTCCCCCCATCCCCTTCCCTGCTTCCCCCCATCCCCTTCCCTACTTCCCCCCATCCGCTTCCCTGCTTCCCCCCATCCCCTTCCCTGCTTCCCCCCATCCCCTTCCCTGCTTCACCCCATCCCCTTCCCTGCTTCCCCCCATCCCCTTCCCTGCTTCCCCCCATCCCCTTCCCTGCTTCCCCCCTTCCCTTTCCCTACTTCACCCCATCCCCTCCCCTGCTTCCCCCCATCCCCTCCCCTGCTTCCCCCCATCCCCTTCCCTACTTCCCCCCATCCCCTTCCCTGCTTACCCTCGTCCCTTCCCCTGCTTCCCCCCATCCCCTTCCCTTCTTCCCCCCATCCCCTACCCTACTTCCCCTCATCCCCTTCCCTGCTTCCCCCCATCCCCCTCCCTGCTTCCCCCCATCCCCCTCCCTGCTTCCCCCCATCCCCTTCCCTGCTTCGCCCCTTCCCTTTCCCTGCTTCACCGCATCCCCTTCCCTGCTTCCCCCCATCCCCTGCGGAGATAACTACTACAACGGGAGCTTAGAGTACTGGCTAGGCACGTGTGCTCGTGTGATGTCTGCGTTCGTTGGTCCTTAGACGTTTTCCTAGTGCTCACACTGCTTACTAGTTCACGGGGCAATTTGGCAAGAGTTTCACTAGAGAAAGTTGTCAATAATGGTACAATGAAGTTGGCAATGCAAGACTACATCAGAGCTAGCATTCAGGTTGGTCGATTGCCAGCACAGCATGGTCGACCGCGTTCCAGCACGACTTGGTTGACCACGCTACAGCAGTGCAAAGTCGACAGCTTGCCAACGCTGCAGGTTGACGGTGTGCCAGCATTGCTCACGCAGGACAGCACTGCACCCGCTTTGCAGGTGCGCGCAGATGATTGGCGTGCAAAGTCTCGTCACCTGCACAGCGCACACACCACGTCAACCTCGGGCTAGCGACTGCCTCTGATCCGCCACGACGACCTCGGGATACCACCATGGAGGTCGGTCTCGCCAACTTCGCCTGGGTGACCGTCGCACTTCTTCGCAAAACCTCGTCACCCAGGTATCCTGGTCGACCGGGCAACTATGTCAACCAGCTGCTCCTGTATGTGCTCGTCGACCTCCCAAGTCGACAACCACACCAAGTCGATCTCACCTGGTCGACCAGATCCAGGTCGACGTCACTCCTGGTCGACCAG